CCAAGTCACAGCATTTCCGGCTTCGAGAAGTGTTGGATATCCACCATATCACGTAACCACAAGACACCCCCCCCCTCCCATCCGCCACCCGCTGCAAGAGACATGATCAGACTCCCCATCTGACCCATCGTGACCCTAAGACCGCCCCATCTAACGGCCCGATTCCGAAGTAATATCCAGGATCGGCTTTGTTTAGCTACTCACGAGAGTCAACCGAGGCGAGAGTCTTACGGGGATGATCAAATTTCACGAGGGTCAAACGTCACGAGGGTCACAATGGGTCAAATTTCACCGGAATGAAACGCCACGAGATTGACTAGGGGTTGGTTAGATTTCACGAGTACCAAACCTCCCAAGGGTCACGAGGGGATCGGCAAATGTTCAAAAGGATCAAACCTCACGAGAGTCACAAAGGAATAATGAAATGTTATGACGTTTGAATATCCCAATGGCCATTTTCCACGCGGGCCCAACGTCAAATTTCGCGTGGAGCAAAGGATCACAAGAGTCATGAGGAAATACGATGCTTTAACGATCTTTGAGAATCACATGGAACAATCTCCAACTCTTTGTAGGAACGATAATGGTGTTCATTATTCAAGTTTATTGAATTTTTCACAGAATCATTTCGGGCCCTGGAAAGTTTAAGAATTGGGGATCCCCCTGTGACTTTCGTACTGACTCGTAAAATTTGATCGTCCCCTTGTGACCCTCCCAGTTTGACCCTTGCGAAAATTGACCGTCCCCTTGTGTCGGTTAACTGCCGTGATATTTGACCATCCCCTTGTGACCCTCCTGGAATTTAACCATCCCCTTATGACTCTTATGAAATTTGACCATCTCGTTGTGCCCCTCGTGACATTTGACCCTTGTGAAATTTGACCATCCCCTTGTGACCCTCGTGCTGTTTGACCCTAGTAAAATTTGATCGTCCCCTTGTCTCGCTCGTCACGTTTGATGCTTGTGAACCTTGTCTCCATGTGACCCTTGTGAAATTTGATAATCCCCTTGTGACCCTCTTGACATTCGTGAAATTTAGGCATTCCCTTATGACCCTCGTGACGTTTGACTCTCGTGAAATTTGACCATCCCCTTGTGACCTTCGTGCTGTTTGACCCTAGTGAAATTTGATCGTCCCCTTGTCTCGCTCGTCACGTTTGATGCTTGTGAACCTTGTCTCCATGTGACCCTTGTGAAATTTGATAATCCCCTTGTGACCCTCTTGACATTCGTGAAATTTAGGCATTCCCTTATGACCCTCGTGACGTTTGACTCTCGTGAAATTTGACCATCCCCTTGTGACCTTCGTGCTGTTTGACCCTAGTGAAATTTGATCGTCCCCTTGTCTCGCTCGTCACGTTTGATGCTTGTGAACCTTGTCTCCATGTGACCCTTGTGAAATTTGATAATCCCCTTGTGACCCTCTTGACATTCGTGAAATTTAGGCATTCCCTTATGACCCTCGTGACGTTTGACTCTCGTGAAATTTGACCATCCCCTTATGACCCTCGTGCTGTTGGACCCTCGGGAAATTTGATCGTCCCCTTATCTCGCTCGTCACGTTTGACCCTTGTGAAACTTAATCATCCCCTTGTGACTTTTGATCCGTGTGAAACTTGATCGTCTCAATGTGACCCTTGTGACTTTTGACCTTCGTGAAATTTGATCATCCCCTTGTGACCCTCGTGACGTTCGACTCTCATGATGTTTGAGCCTCTTGAAATTTGACCATCCCCTTGTGATCCTTTTGTCCCTTCTGATATTTTGACTCCGGTGAATCATCTTATTCTTGTGACCTCCCTGGAAAAAAAATCAGCGCATGTTTCCGAATGAGTAAATTTTATAACAATGTAGTCTCAGACCCCTCCCCCTCACCTCTGTAAATTTTCACCCCTCCGGATACATACGGCTGTCGTCAAACCCCCGGAAAAACCGCATGATCATGTATTTTCCCCGAAATTCTTTTTTTTTTAATTATAAAAAATCAGCGCATGTTTCCGAAGAGGTAAATTTCATAATAATGTAGTCTCAGACCCCTCCCCCTCCCCCCCTAAATTTTCACCACTCCGGATACATGCGGCTGTCTTCAACCCCCCGGAGAAACCGTATGATCATGTATTTTTCCCGAAATTCTTTTTTTTTTGAAATTATAAAAAATCAGCGGATCTTTCCGGAGGGGTGAATTTGATAAAAATGTAATCTCAGACCCCTCCCCCTCACCCCCCTAAATTTTCATCTCTCCGGATACATGCGGCTATCTTCAACCCCCCAGAAAAACCCCAGTCTCATGCATTTTTTCAGAAATTTATTTTTCGAAAAATTAAAAAAAATCAGCGCATGTTTCCGAAGGGGTAAATTTTAAAACAATGTAATCTCAGACCCCTCCCCCTCACCCCCCTAAATTTTCATCTCTCCGGATACATGCGGCTATCTTCAACCCCCCAGAAAAACCCCAGTCTCATGCATTTTTTCAGAAATTTATTTTTCGAAAAATTAAAAAAAATCAGCGCATGTTTCCGAAGGGGTAAATTTTAAAACAATGTAATCTCAGACCCCTCCCCCTCATCCCCGTAAATTTTCAGCCCTCCGGATACATGCGGCTGTCTTCAACCTGGCGGAGAAACCGCATGATCATGTATTTTCCCCGAAATTCTTTTTTTTTTAATTATAAAAAAACGGCGCATGTTTCCGGAGGGGTAAATTTTATAAAAATGTAATCTCAGACCTCTCCCTCACCCCCCTAAATTTTCATCCCTCCGGATATAAGCGGGTGTCTTCAACCCCCCAGAAAAACCCCAGTCTCATGCATTTTCTCAGAAATGTATTGTTCGAAAAATTAAAAAAAATCAGCGCATGTTTCCGAATGGGTAAATTTTATAACAATGTAGTCTCAGACCCCTCCCCCTCACCGCCGTAAATTTTCACCCCTCCAGATACATACGGCTGTCTTCAAACCCTCGGAAAAACCGCATGATCATGTATTTTCCCCGAAATTCTTTTTTTTTTAATTATAAAAAATCAGCGCATGTATCCGGAGGGGTAAATTTTATAAAAATGTAATGTCAGATCCCTCCCCCTTGCCCCCCTAAATTTTCACCCCTCCGGATACATGCGGCTGTCTTCAACCCCCCGGAGAAACCGCATGATCATGTATTTTCCCCGAAATTCTTTTTTTTAATTATAAAAAATCAGCGCATGTTTCCGAAGAGGTAAATTTCATAACAATGTAGTCTCGGATCCCTTCTCCTCACCCCCCCTTCACCCCCCTAAATTTTCACCCCTCCGGATACATAAGAAAATGCATGAGACTGGGGTTTTTCTGGGGGGTTGAAGACACCCGCATATATCCGGAGGGATGAAAATTTAGGGGGGTGGGGGAGAGGGGTCCGAGGTTACATTTTTTATAAAATTTACCCCTCCGGAAACATGCGCTGATTTTTTATAATCTAAAAAAAATTAATTCCGGGGAAAATACATGAGTATGCGGTTTCTCCGGGGGGTTGAAGATAACCGCATGTATCCGGAGGGGTGAAAATTTAGGACGGTGAGGGGGAGGGATCTGACATTACATTTTTATAAAATTTACCCCTCCGGATTCAACCCCCCGGAGAAACCGCATACTCATGTATTTTCCCCGAAATTCTTGTTTAAAAAATTATAAAAAATCGCCCTCACCCCCCTTAATTTCCAACCCTCCGGATACACACGTCTATTTTCCACCCTGACAGTCAGCATTGAATAATTCAAAATATCAACATTTTTTCAGCTAAAATAAAATAACAAAATGCGCCGCAACACCCTTCTGTCGACTCGTTCGGCAGACGGCAGCAGATGGCTGGCCGGCGACTGCTGCGGCAGCAATCGCAGTGCTGCTAACGCGGCCAACCAGGTCGGTCATTTAATCCTAACGCCATCTCGCGGCATTCGTTGATCGGGGATTCTATTCGCGATCGCAAAAGCGATTTCTCGCCATTTGGTGGTGGTTTGTAGAATTACTATCTTGCGGAACCAATTGGCAATGCCAAAATAGAGACACTCTAGTAAGAGATGAGCGGATAGGTTGCGATTTCTGATTGGTGCCGACATTTTTGGTCGAAACAGCGGGATTTTTGAATGACTTCATAAGTTCAATGCGATATTTTCCTCACTTTAATGTTAAATGAGGTAATAAATGAAACAAAAGCATTTATGTGTAATCCAGGGGTGCTAAAATGTATGAATTGATATAAACTGACTTTATTCTCATCAATTTTTTCTGTAAATATCTCTACGTTAGTACCAAAAATGACAATCCTAACCAAAAAAGTCACAGCAAGACGTTCAACATGCGTGAATTGCATCGTTTCATATATTATCAATAAAAGAAGAAAAAATGCCGGGATGTACAGCAGATTACTGCACAAATTCATCTGCGAAGGGATTTAAAATGTGTTCTTTCCCAAGTGATCCTGAAAGACGTCAAATATGGGTGAAAAACATGGGTCGCGACAATTGGACCCCAACTTCTAACTGCAGACTGTGCGAGGTAATTGATATCCATCAGATTTATACTTATTTCATGATAGTCATTTGCTAGTTATTGATTATTTTCTATTTTATCATTTATTTATTCATTCATTTATTTTGTTTTATTTACATTAATCTGATGTTGACAGGTTCATTTTGAGTCTACGATGTGGGAACGACAACGACTAGATGGGAAAAAGAAACTAAAATTCAATGCAGTTCCTACCTTATTTGGAAAACATATTCCCCATAGAGATGCTACGTGTGATATTACTCCTCAAAGTGTGGAGATTGGTAAATGCCACTGGATTCGATTGATTTACTCGTATAGTAGTGGTGAGACGTAACGTGGATGAAAAAATTCAGTAGAAAAACCTTCAACTTTCTCTCAAATATTCTATTGAAATTTTGTGGAACTGGATGATAATTCTATTGAACTTCTTTTTTTTTCTTTGTGGCAATTCTATTAAGAATGATGCAACTTCTCATGCGTTTTTTTAAATGGAAATTCGTTTATGGAAAGATGTCTATAGATGTTTTTCTGAATAACTTATTCTGTTGGGATTTTTTCTATAAGAATTTTTGGGCATGAATTTTTCAAGTTTTTTCTTCCTTGAATTTTATCATGAGAAACGAATAAAAATACAGGGGAAAAAGTGACGATAACAATACGATAATAATACTGACAATAGAGGGGAAAAAGCATTCAAAATTCACGCCGAAGAATTTCTATAGAAAAATCTAAATCTATCAATTTTTTTCCATCAAATATCTGTTAACAAAATAGTACAACGAAGTTGCATAATCTTCTATGAAAATGTGCACAAAACACTAATGGAATTTCTTCACAGAATTCTAATAGGACCTCAAGAAAAATCATATAGAGTTCCAATAGAATTTCAATAGAATCCCTGAGAGAAAACGCTGATTTTGTCGACTATCAGAAACGTTTGGTTTTTCAAAACGTTTCTGATGAATTCGCTCAACAATTCCATTGGATTTCTATAGAACTTTCTATTAATTTTCTGCCATTTTTATTGAAATATTTCCTATAGAATTTCTTCAGTTTAAATTTTCTGAGTTTTTTTGTTTGATTTTCTTGAAGGGAAGAAAATAAAAAATGAATGGAAAAATGGGAAAATTCGAGCCGAGAAAATTCTATAGAAAATATTTCAATGGAATAGATTGGAATAGAGAGACAGAATAGATTGGAATAGAGAGAAAGTTCTTCACAAACCCAATAGAATTGTCTAGCGAATTCGCTAGATTTTTCCATTAAATTTTCAAATACGTAGTACGATGAATAATTGAACAATAGAATTGAATAAAATGCTGTTTTCCAGCTGATACTTCTTCGAATCCATCTGTGATATCATCAGAGATAAATCTTGTAGAACCAGAGACTGAAACTGAAATCAGCAGTGAAGGAACGGTAGAATTCGAAGCGACCGACACCAATATCGTGTCGACTGATTTTTCGAAGAGTAATGAGCATTTGGAGCGCATGCGGAAATTACTCCTCAAGAGTGAAAGACTGCGGAAAAAGATGAAGAAGAAACTCATATCAGCGAAGAAGACTATCAAGAGACTCCAAAGTAGAGTACGGGAATCAAATTTTTCAGATGCAATCAAGAAAGTATTGAATGAAGATCAGATAAAACTCCTGACTAAAGAATATAAAAAACTACCGCGATGGTGTAACGAATCGTTAGTGAAAGGTTTCAAATTGAAATTCCTCTGCGGTAGTTCAGGTTAAAAGCAGTCGCGAAAAGAATACCTTCCACTCCCGTCTCTTTGAACACTTAGTGAAAAATTAGAAACTTTTAAATTCATGCCGGGAATATGTGATGAAATTTTTGAATTTTTAAAAATCAAAATCGGTGGATTCAAAGATGACATTACCAGAGATTCCGTATTAGTTTTGGATGAAATGAGTATCTCAAAATTACGGAGTTACTGTACGTCAAGTAATACAGTCTTTGGAAATATTACTCTGCCACCTTCTGATAATGAACTTGCAAGTCATGCCCTCGTGTTTCTTCTTGCGGGGGTTGCAAGTCGATGGAAACAGATAGTCGCTTATGAATTTACGGGGGATAGTGTACCTGGGGAACAAATAATAGAAAAATCAGAGGAGATAGGATTATTAGTTCATGGGGTTACATGTGATATAAGCTCGTCAAACCGAAGTATGTGGAGATTATTCGAAGTCTCAGCCTCCAGGTGCTCAACGATAAAAAATTCTTGTTCTCTTCCCTGCGATAACGAATGGAGACTCTACTTTTTTCCCGACACAATCCATACTTTTAAAAATATTAAATGGGGGTTGATGAACAATGAATTCTTCACGCTCGATGAAAAAATCGTTAAAAAATATAAATTACCATCAAATATCGTGTCCATGGAAAATATCCCTGATAACTATCTTCTTTCCAAAAAGACTTTGAATTACCAATCGCTCCAAAATTAAATGATGAAAATTTGAATCCGAATCGTCGCTTCGGCAAAATGCGTGTAAGGAATGCTACTGGAGTGATAAGTCACGATGTTAGTGCCGGTTTGGAATTTCTCGGGGAAGAATTCCCAAATAAATCCACTTATCTAACGACTTCTTGGTTCGTAGAATTTTTGGCTCGGTGGTTCGATCTCATATCAAGTCGCAATCCCGCTTTGTCATTGAGTAAATTACACCCCGAAAAATATTTTGAAACTTTGGATTTCTTGAATGACATAATAGAAATTTTTTCTAGTATGAGGGTGGGAGTGGCTGGTATTTGGAAACCGTTTCAAACTGATGTTCTTATTTCCACAAAGTCTATTCTTGAATGCTCACAATATTTACTAGACACTCGAAAATTCAAATTCATACTCCTCTCAAGATTCACTCAAGACTGCCTCGAAAATCTATTTTCAACAGTGTGCTCGAAACATGTAATCCCAAATGCTCTACCATTCAAAAACAATTTGAAGTTGCTCACAATAGCTACATGAAAGAATAAATAGATTTCATCGTAATACATGAAAGATGTGTCGAACAGCAACTACAATACTGATGATAGAGAATTCTTAAGTGAATTTCTGGATTCATTACTCAGCAAAAAAGATGAAAAAACTCACTTCATTCAGCAAAATACAAATAGTTCACACTCAAATGAATTGATTAATAACTTTTCACCTCCTGACATACAACTAACAAAAATTGAAATGAATTGTTTACATCAAGCTGCTGGGTATATAATGCATAGTATTCATAAGAATCAGACAGCATGTAAAAAATGTATCAGTCAGACAGGTTCCTATCGCTCTCCCTCTTTTTTTTACAACAGATTGACTCAGCTTCGTCGGTATGCAGGAGGGCGTTTATTTTTTGTCAATCCTAAAACTTTTAATTTTTGCATCCAGATGGAAATAATATTCAGGCAGTACTTTGACTATTTACAAACTTTGAGAAATGTGAATCTGAAGAAGTTCTTTATCAAAAGGTTTTCAAGTATTGACTTCTCATTACCTGCGTGCCATAATCTAAAGAAAAAGATCATCCTCCGCTTCCATGCATTTAGGCTAAAAGTTAAATCACAGAAAAAAATTTCCTCGACACACTTCTCCAGCAAATCAATGGCTATGCACACCGTTGTAAAATAACTAGTATGTTGAAATATATTATGTAAAATTTTGAGCATTTGTATTTTCTCATCTTTCAAATCAATTCACTGATTGATATCATGTTTATCGCAATATCTCTATCACTACGTTTGTCTGAGTGCAGTGCTAGTCATTGCTTATCGTTTTTTTTCTCACATTAACATTTTTTTCAGATTTAGCTGACCTGATATTCCTCAGACGGGGTCTCGCGGCCTACATAAAATGAACATATAGGGGATACGTGTGCTCGATGGTTCCTTCACTCAAATGCAGTCTAGATTTGTATTACTTGCAATTGAAATTATACCCACGAGATTATTTTACATCAATGATTTCTTGCAGTATTATCACACTTATTTTCATTCACGACATTTTGATACAAATTCACATACTATGACGGAACTCGTTTTAGTGGTTCATTTTTATTTATACAAATTTTTCAAAATAAAAAATGTAGATAATTAATCAAAACTCCTCATCGTTTAATTCTGTTGAAGAAAATTCATTTATAGAGATTAATTTGTAGATTATATTTAATCGCTAATATTTTCCCCTATCCAGAAGTTTGAATTACGCGGTCATGCCGCACTTCCGGTCTCGACCAAATCTGGCGGATTTCCCTGGGATCCGCTCATCTCTTACTAGCACTGACCTCTATATAACTGGATAGCCGATCCCTATGGCAGCCAGTGAGTTTATTAGAGAGGTACGCAGCGCCTCCGGATAGTAGTCAGCGAACTAAGATTCTCTCTAGTGCGCATGTCCGTGTCAGCTGCAGGTAGTGGGGCAGTGGTAAATTTACCGAGAGCATTGGGAAATATTATAGGATATTTTACCGTGTAGGACATCCAGAATAACAGACGAACTTTTGTTAATAATCAGTGAAAACTGACATTTTCTATAAATGCGAAAGGAAGCCGAAGCATGGAGGAATGTCGAAATTAGTACAATTGTTATCAATATTGTATTATTAATGAATTGTATAATCGTAAATAATTGAAAAAATTGAATTTTTAAAAACTACAAAGAATCGCCAAAAAATGTTATTAGATTTTTTTAATCGTAATTTTTTGCTAGATTTAATTGACGTTTTAGTTTTTTCAAAAAATCAATTTTGAAAAATCAGGATTTAACCCACTGTCTTATGTCAAAGTCCATAACTTTGTTGTAGAGCAAGATTGAAATCGGAATTTTTGACTCAAAATATGAAAAAAAATCAAGAAATTTTTTGACACATGATACAACATGAATGACCGTTTTTTAAACAATATCCATTATTTATTTATAAAACGGAGATGTTTGAAGAGAAAATAATATGTTGAAAAATGGAAATTTGAATGATGCTGATTGTGTATGAATTTTTTATCAATTTTCTCACGTAATTTAATGGAAAAATTTAATAATTGAAAATCTCGACATCTATAGTGTGGTCAGTATGAACTTGTAGCCTACTGATGAGCTACTTTAAGGAAATTAATGTATTCAGGAAATTGGGAAACTCAAAATAAATATTCAACTGAATTTATTCGTTCGAAATTTTTTTGTATTTATTAAACTATAATACACCTAGACTGATCGGAATTTATTGATTGAGTATACTATACTAATTTTACCTTTTTCAATTATTATTTACAATTTGGGACGGAGAATGTTTCCACGGCAATTTTCCGAGCACNTTATTATTTACAATTTGGGACGGAGAATGTTTCCACGCATGTTTCGGCGCGCATGCGCACTGACGTCATCTTTAGTACCTGAGCTACTATACGGCAGCGCTGGCTGACACTTCAATTCGCCTCACTTTGAGAGTGGTGGGAGCATAGGGATCAGCTATCCAGTTATATAGAGATCAGTGCTTACTAGACTGTCTCTATGCCAAAAGTGTTTCCAGCACTATACCCAGAAAAACGAACTGATTCGGAACTACTCTAAGGCGAAATAGCCAACCTCACGTCCTATTTTGTGACCAACTTCACATCAAAACAAAGTGAACTTCATTTTACTCATAAAAATGACTACAAATGTTTATAAAAAAATGATCGAAGAGTCTGCTGTGTGCCAAACTGTAAAATTAAAGATAAATCAAATTTGAGCTTTCACAATTTCCGTACCAGTCATCATTGTATTTAAAAAAAAAATCTGGGAGTTTGGATCATTCTCTTTTCTACCTTCTCCACCTTCATGCAACAAAATTCCTCCAAATTCACTACCTGATTCTGGGGTAAATCAGCATTTGATTTCACCTTGCCCCATTGCTGTTTCAAGTCTGTACAGCTCAACATCTCCGATCTGTCAACTCGAACCCTAGATCAATCCAATATTTAAACTGCAGATTGCGTATACTCGAATATGACTGACGATGTACATGTATTGAAGTAGATAAAACGATCAAAAACAAAAAAAACACATGAATTTCCTCACCGATAAATATATAGAAGTGTCGCAAAAATGTGTTTACATTTTTCACTCAAGCCGGCTGGAGAAGTACATTTGGTAATTATTTTCCTCTTATTTTCCTCAAACTGAATTTTTATAGTTATTTCGTGGTAATTATTCCAATGTGATGATTGACGACCAGCTGACACAATTTCTATCTAATTCTGTTTATAACTTTTGACACCACAGATGAGGATGTGTTCAGCTAATAATACCTCCTCTCCTGCTTGAACTGGTCTCCTAGTATCTCCTAGTAAGTCTCCAATATCACATAATGTCAAATTGAACTTTGGATTGATATTCATGTTTACAAAAGTCCAATACTGATAGGGTAATGGGAGGCAAAGATCTTAATTTCGTATAACCATACATTCCGGCGCCCAACCACCTGGTAGGCTTCGCCATAGGCTAGTTACAGAAACCCTCAGTAGAGGGCGAAAAATCGCTTTTGGCATTGCCAATCTGATGGTAGTGCGCCAAGGCTCTGGAGTATGAAATAGCAAATTATTCATTGATGTCGACACAAAAAATGGAGACCTAAAAAAGTTCATTACCAAAATTTTTTAACTTGCTTTCGGTTACGAGATATTCAACAAAAAATGGACTCAACCGACTCGGCTAATTTCGTTATAGAATATTCATCTCTCCATGAAATACTTACGCCGCTTTATATAATCGTCAAGAGAGAAATGTTGACTGCAAACTTTCATGTTTTCATCATAAATTCCTCTCAGTTTCAATGCTTCCATCCACTCGTTCCGTAAAATTAAATCGGATGGAAAACTATGGAAACTTAAATTCAGTTTATGCTTTACTTTGCGCTGTGGAACACAGCAGCCTCTTTTCGAATTCTTGAGATAATTGTTCTGTGCCATTTTCATAAACAATCGGTCGGTTATAACATCAAAATTTAATTCACGGCTTGTACTTGAAACAATTTGACATTTCAGCACTATTTGAGGTTAGGGTTGTGAGCAGCTCCGCAAGTTAGTAGTTCTCCACGGTCCCGCATTTTTGGCCATAGCGCTGACGGCGGTTTTGCGATCGCGAATTGGCGTAATTACACTTTCACCCATTTCTGCTGATATGAGGCTGAAGCTGGCGGGAGCAGTTCAGCGGGAGATGGGTATAGTTTGTGAGGCGGACTGTACGGCCCCCACCGTAGCCGCTCGCTCAACGCCACATCGGTAGCCACGAGTTTAAACCTCCTCCCAGACAAATTAAATGATAAAAAACAATCAAACAATTTTTTTTTTATTATTGTTATTTCTTAATGTATGATGAGGGTGGGGAATGATTTCTCGAGGAGGAATATCATGATATTTTTTTTATTTTTATAAGTTTTTACGCGGTCAATAAGGGTGCAATAAACGCATACACCATACGATGGCATTTTATTTTTAATGTGTCCCTAAGGGGTTAGGGGACCCTGTCCAACAAAAATTATCGCGGTGCACCTGTTAGGGTATTTTTAATTAATTTTTTAAGATTAATTTTTCTCAACTTCCGGTGAAAAAAATGGTGATGCACGGGCACGCATGCACCACCCAACCCCATTCCGTTTGAAATATGTAGCTAGGGGGTTGGGGGACCCTCCCCAACAAAAATTATCGCGGTGCGCTAATTAGGGGATTTTTAATAAATTTTTCAAGATTCATTTTGTGTAACTTCCGGTGAATGCGGTGGGGGTGCACGGACACGCATGGAGCAACCGACTTCATTCCACTTGGAATATGTGCCTAGGGGGTTGGGGGCCCCTCTCCAACAAAAATTGTGACGGTGCACTAATTAGGGTATTTTTAATTAATTTTTTAAGATTCATTTCTCCCAACTTCCGGTGAACAAAATGGTGGTGCACGGACACGCATGGAGCAACCGACTTCATTCCACTTGGAATATGTTACTGAGGGGTTGGGGAACCCTCCTTAACAAAAATTGTGACGACGCACTAATTAGGATATTTTTAATTAATTTTTTAAGATTCATTTCTCCCAACTTCCGGTGAACAAAATGGTGGTGCACGGACACGCATGCACCAACCAACTCCATTCCGCTTGGAATATGTTACTGAGGGGTTGGGGGACCCTCTCTACCAAAAATTGTGACGGTGAACTAATTAGTCGATTTTTAATAAATTTATAAGTTTACTTTTCGAATTTGACGAAAAGGTCAGATGGCTTTTATTTTTTTTTTCTTAGACACTTTGCAAGTCTATATCTAAAAAAATATTGAGAAGTTATGGAGACACACTCCGGGAAAATACGCAGAATATCTCAAAGAATCGAGTGGTTTTTGATTCATTAAAAATCCCCTAATTAGTGCACCGCGATAATTTTTGTTGGGGAGAGTCCCCCAACCCCCTAGGCACATATTCCAAACGGAATGGAGTCGGTTGGTGCATGCGTGTCCGTGCACCACCATTTTGTTCACCGGAAGTTGGGAGAAATGA